AGATTAGCACTGGCTGTTAGTCGTTTTCAGTCGTGCTTTCCGCTCTGCAGATGCAACTACCTTTATGATTTGCATGGATGACCCCTACGCTGACCTTTGGTGGTGATCAGATAGAGATCATTCAGAATTTCATCTTCTTTGGACAACTATACCAACGCCTCTGGAGGAGGAGATGAGATCACTAACTGTATGACTAAAACTCGAAGCGTTTTCACTAATTTCTGCCATCTGTGGCGTAGGCGCGACATCACTCAACCTGAAGGGCAGAGTTTACAGTGCAACGGTGTTGAAACCTGGCCCATCAGTTAGACGGATGCAAAGAGGTTAGTTGCTTTCGATCATCGCTGCCTTCACAGCTGAGCTCACATCTGGTGGAACAACGCATGAGCAGTGAACGTGTTCGGCGTGGCCTATTTGGTGCAGGAAGAGCGAGTGAGCCGCTTAGCACCGTTATATCACGCATCAAGCTCCGATGGCTGGGCGACGTGTTGCGCATGCCAGCACACCGACTTCCGCGTAGTGCGGTGTTTGTGCGACCGGGGACTGGGTGGCACAAGAGGTAGGGTGAGGTCACCCAATGAAATGATCAAAAGGATTGAAGTATCTCACTTCGAATTTGCCTGGAGCACTGGAGCAAATTGATTCCAATTTTGAAATATGACTATGTATTTCGAGAGGACAAAGGTGATGGCGTTTTGTTATCTCAGTCTCGGGGATCGTCACCGAGCAAGGCAATATCGTCAACATAGTCTAAATCAGTCGGGCGAAGAAGTTCTGCGCCAGAACCGTGAATGCCTTCAAGAGCCCTCAACAGGTCATCCTCCGTCGCAAAACTAAGTAGAAACGGGGACATGTACATCACTGATGACGGCGAAATGTGAAGATAACTTACCGTAAGTCCTCACTTTAACCTAGACGTTGAAGGCTGGCGGTATACTTTTCGGATATCCCGTTCTTTTACCGGTAACACCATATATCAGACTGGTCGACCGAATCGAACGCAGGCTGGATATCGGAAAAGCCAGCAGGGGTATGTTGACGGCAAAGACGACGCTGCTCAAGGAGCTGGCTAAGCGTAATCATGTGGTCCGCCAACTGTCGACAAATGCGGATAGCGGCCTGTTCTTTACTGATTGCAGTACTCGAACCGGAATGGAATGGAATGAATGCTAACAATTTGAGGGCAGCACAGTAGTCTGCTTACACTGTGGTTGGCATCTGTGGTACGGACATGCTATTGGTAAGATAATCGACTCGTCCCCGGAAGATGTAACCTTTTATTCAGGTCAAGTATTTCCGAACGTTGCTACTTGGTTGCGCGTTACGTAATCACCGTATTTAAACAGCTCCGGAAGAAGTTCGTCTAAACCAGCAACCCTGAAACGCTTCGATCTTCAAGGCTAAAAGCGGGTGGTTTCCGTGATTGGTTCCAATGAAACGTGTCGAGGCATGCGACTAGGTATAGTTGTTTGACAGGCAGACGGACGAGGCCAACTCGTCTGAGAGCGCAAGTGCTCAGCTTAGCGGTACCTGCACACGCAAATTGGTGATCAATGATTCATCAGTCTCCCAGGTATCCTCACTGACGTTAGGTCGCCTTGGCCAGTGGTCCATCTTTGAACCGCGCTGAGGCCACCAAGTTCCACGGTCACTATGCAGACTTTACTGAGGTTGTGGCGTACTTCATTGCTATTTGAATTAGCTGGGATAGCTCGGCGACGGTCGAGTAGTTCGCATGAGCATGCATAGATCCAGTCTTTCGGGGAGCGACTAGTGATTCCACACATTAATTTGCATGAAGAAAGCATAGCTTTTTACAAGATAATTCAGTGATGTTCGACATCTTGAGGTGCAACGCTAGCGAGCGCGTCTGATAAGGGAGGTTAGTTACTTGAAAGTGGGAGTCAGCTAGCCTGTTGGCATCTTGCGTACGGTGCTCTGGTTTCCTGGAATTCCCGAAGCGCATGCGGGTGTCCGCACAAACAGTCCAGACAGGTGGACCACACTTGTGTCGGTGGGGGCACACTAGATGGTTTGCCATCTCCTCACATGGCTGAACTTCGTGCTCGAAAGTAAGAGTCAGTCGTCTTCGTATAACGTAAGAAGTTCATCATCTCCGTTATCAGTGCGACCATCACCAAGGGCGTAGCTGCCACTAAGGTGACGTCAACATGGCAGCAGGCGTCCCCAGCAAGGGCGACATCGCCTTTACTGAAACGCCATTGGAGTCAGCGATAAGATTGCCCTTAATCTTTATACAGCTGCAATCAATTTGCGCGTAAGCGAAGGTCACAGACAAGTTGCTTATCTTTTCACTATGTCAGTTGATCCTGCATGAGCCTTGAAACCGGACCGCGCACAGTCAGTTGTCAATCAGGAACTAATCCAGCAACGCTGCCTAGGCTCTGTCACTCTACGCAATTCTAACACTAGCCAAGGCGGCTGTGGCTCGCTCTGTCATCCGACAGATGCAGGAAAACTTTGGCTCCGGGATCAGTGAGAGCTGTCAACAACGATGATGGAGTCATGCAGTAGAGTCTTTGAAGTACAATCTATGCCGATAACTAGGGTCTCCAGGGTGCACGCTAGGCTGGCCTGTTCGGCAATGCATAGGGGTTTATACCTTGAAAGATTCGAATCGGAGTCGAAAGAGAGCCAGTGACCGAAGTCTTCAGGCATCGGTAATAGACTTGAAGAAGCGGGAATTATAAACGACAGTAACTTCCTCGTGTGGTGGAGGTGCAAGAGCAGCGAATTAGTTGGGACCGACATAATAGTAGGCGCAGATTCCGTGCTTTTGTCAGAATGTGTTATACTACCCGGTTGCATAAAGTGAATTAGGTAGTTGTCTAAGGGGACCTAAGAACCTAACCTCACGACAGCTGGGAGAATTCAGGAAATCGCACACATTGGGAGTCACTGACCGATTCCTCAGTTCATACAGCTTTTGTTTGGTCGGTTACCAAACAGGGACCCAATCCTCCCCATAATTTCAGCATCAAGATGCTGGAATACAGTACTTTCCACCAAGGTAAAACAAAGATCGCTGAGTTTATTTAGTGACGAGTCACATCCGTCACGTCATAGTGTTGCTAAACAGACATCTATGCCTTCTTGTACGGAGAACACTTGCCAAGCGAAAACCCACAGCGTCCTGGAGCACTGCCGCCGAACCATTCCTTAGGACTGGGTAGTCCCGAAATACCCATCTGGCACCACGAGGCTTGTTCGGCAAGCTTAATGTGCGTGGCAATAGACCTAATGCGAGCGCACTATTATTTTCATGACTGTACTATAAAATGAGTTTTAACTACTGGTGTTTGATTCTGACTAATTTACAGTTCTTAGGCCTTGTATCTTTGCGTGATGGAATCAACTAGGATCTGAATTCGTGATGGAGTGCAGGGTTTTAGAAAGACAGTGGATTAAGATCAATGTATCGTCCATAGGACCAATACCTCTTGCAACGCTAATAGACTGTTGTCTGCCACACATCGTGGCCTTTCGGTGCATACGGACTCTCAGCTTGCTACTTGTGTGTACCAAGTTCTAGTCCCCTGTTTAGTCGCTTCCCAAGCCGCGTACACCTATGCAGGTCATCCATTTGGTCACGGGGATGTAGCGGATTGGGGCTTCGTAGTGCATCCCCGATGCGACTTTTAATCAATCGCTCAAGCTACGTCACTTATGTTATCAGATTCGTTTTTCACGCCCCCCGTTGATCGTCTACTCAGGTCCGCTAGTTTGCTGAGGATCCTACTCGCTATGTGATTGCTCAAGATGACATGCAGTGTAGAAAATGAAAATGAAGTATCCAGTCGAAAACTATATGGCTTGTTGAGATCACATCGTAGTGCATACTGGGTAGTTTAAACGCTGTCTTGTCTGTGGTTGTCCTAGAATCATTATCCTCCCATTTCGTTTGACACTTCACTTTTAGACTTCGATTTTCAGCCAGCCTTCAATTACATTTTCTTTTGTTTGGCTTTACTTTTTCTTTCAGGACTATTGGTTTTTATTCTCATCGTAGCCTGAGCTCTAACTTCGCTACAGACAATGACCTTAATTGCGTGCTTCCGATTCGTACTAAAATCGATTCACCTGTACTATATGGTATATCAGTAATTTCCGGTACTATGATTGAGGCTAGAACAATATACATAGCTGTCTTGCACTAGGTTTTTTTTCCTCCGCCAGCTTTATGGCTGCTGCTGTTCTGAGCGGAGCAGGTCGTTGCCTCTGGAGCTCACGCTGCATGCGCAGTTTGATTGTAGAAGCATTCAGTTGCTGCCGTTACGCTACACCTGGATCCTCTCCCTCTTGTACGGCTGTGAGACCTACCCTATTCGCGTAGCAGATATGAAATAATTGTCTGTTTTTGACAATCGTTGTCTGCGAAGGGTTGCTCGATTGTGGTGACATTGCATAAGCACAAAAGTTCCGAGACCAAGTGCTTGGAGCGGATATCCCCTGCATCTTCGACACCGCATACGTTGGCTCGGCCACTTATTACACATGCCAATCTATCGCCGTCCTCGTCGAGCATTATTTGCGCTTCACATGTGGGACTGGAGGTGCCGCGGTGGACAGCTAATGACGCGAAGGATATTGAGGAGAGCAATCTTAAGCGTAGCATCAGTTGGACCAGTCCGCCCTCCAGGTTAGGAACAATACGATGCAGACTCCCAGTGGCTGGAGACGTTGGATATTATGGCCCGCAACAGCGATCAGTGGCGCCTGCGTTGTTCTTCCACATCTATTGGTTTCTGTCTAATCGTACACACAAACTCAAAATGGACGATATATATATATATATATATATATATATATATATACCGGATCTCGGTTTTTTTATTGTCAGCTCTGTAATCAATGCATCACCCCCTCTAAATATTGCACTGGAATTTAACTGCGGTAAACTTTAACTAGCATGAGACTACAATGAGTTGACTTTTGTCATCAGCAGCAACATTACTGTTCCATGTTTTAGGAGCTCTATTATGCAACTCGGACTGGAGACCAATTTGGACGAACTGGGCCATGCAATCGAAAATTGGAAGACAGCCGATCCCCGTCTTTTTTCTGTTTGTCTGTGTAAACTTGCACAGAATGGGGCTGGTTATCCTCCCGACCAGTTATCTCGGTTGCTTCGTGCTCTAGAGCATAAAATGCCATTGATCTCTGTGGATATGTGTCGGGAGTTGGTGAAGTCTTTCAACGTTCCCACCAGTTGGATCCAGTTACCCTCACCCATACTAGAGGATGTGATTCGCTTGCTTATTGGATTAAGTATTCAGTTCAGTGAACTGACCGGCGAAGTCTGTGACATATGTGCTCAGGTGGTACTCCTACAAACAAATCCCAACATACAACAGATCACATCTTATCTGGATACTTCCGCAGCATTTGTATCCGCCCTGCTGACTGCCGCCCCACATTCCGAAGCATTACTGGTTCAACAACTTTGCAATAAATTCCCCGGATGGAGAAAACAGATGCGTGATATTTTGCTTGCGTTATTTGGCATTCTCCATATCATTTCCGATTCACAGTCTGCTTCTTACTTTTCCGCATCCAGCAAATGTGCGCTGGTCCGTATCGTGTGTAAACTCATAGTAGATTTTAATCTGAGCCTTGATGAGTCCTTCCCACAGAAAGAAAACAAATCAATCGAACTTTGTTTACCGGGTGATGTCGAAGACGCGGAGAAACGGCGCAAATTCATGCATGAGATCCTTGAGACACAGACTGGTGACGATGGCAAAATCCTGAGGAAGCTGGAGCTAACGACTTGGCTAATGATGGTGTACATAAAGCCTATCTGCTTTTCACCCGCTTCAAAGCTTGATTGGCCTTTGCTCTGCTCTATTTTCAAATGCATGCGAGACTTCTTCTCGCAGTATGTTCTTCCTGTAAAGTTCTCTTTTCCTTCGCTTGCTCTGCTATGTTTGTACACAGCCAGCCTCCGTAGAGGTCTGATGATCAACTGGACCGAATCTCTTTGGACCACCATAAAAGATGAACAGCAGGATTGTGAAACACGCATCTCCGCCCTGGCATATCTAACATGTTTCCTAGCTCACACTCGGGCCTGCATTTTGGACTTGGTCGTCGAGATACTACATGATATGGCAGCTTGGTGCATCGATTACGTGTACCGTTGTCGCAATGTGTTGCTGGTCAATTGTGAACAATCTTTTGTTACCGCGAACCAAGTTTATTACGCAGTGTGTGATTCCCTATTGTACATTCTTGTGCAGCTACACGCTACCCTGCTCGATTCACCTCATTACCGCAGTAGCTGTAACCGGCTCCCACTGGCCCAAATCAGGCTTTCTCCGTTACATCCTTGGCAACACCTGCCTGATAGCTTGCGCTGGGGGTTTTCACGGGTCGCCTCTGCTTATCGGTTGTCTTGTGTTCCCATAGGGTTGGACTTGGTGAACTGGAACAACGATGACCGGGAATTCAGTCTGCAGACACTTGAAGCGATTCAGCCAAGCCGTTTCTTTTGCTTGCCTTTGCTGGAAACTAGCAGTTCAATTCTTTGTCCGATCGCCAAAGCACTATTTCGTACACCTGTCATAGGCAAAGCTTTCGTGGAATCCGAGGTTCACCTATCCGGTGTACAATTGGGGCATCTGCAAAAGTCCGTTCCCCATGTCGGAATTGATGTTTCCAAGTTATCGAGAATCATCAACGACGAATAGTTATTTCGCCTTTTTTGTACTTAAAATCGAATGTGATGGTTCTCTTTTTTCCATTGCATTCACAATCAGCTTTGATACAGGCACATTTTCCACTTTCTCTTTCCTTGCCACATTGAGGTGCGGCACTTCCATGTTCACGTCACGATTTGAGACTGGGTTCCATCATCTGTCTAATGAATCTCGGCTGCACAGACCTAGGCAAGACTGCGCTGGTTTGCGTATGCTTCGCAATTTCATAATACGAGGTGCCGTTGCATGGCTGGTTTACAACCGCTAGTTCTTTTGTAAATTCCGATCCTGATAACCATTTTGCCTATTAGGGGTCGGACCGGCAGTCAGCATTTTATAGCTATCTCATTCTGTTACGGCCCCAGTGATCGAATTGACCAAAGTTCACGTCAATGCAAATCACGGTCCACATTGACGTCGCGCGTCGCGATTCATTCAAGTCACTTAGTAACCTTATTCACTCTGAGCAAGTGAATATTCAGCTACAATACGCAAAATCTCGGCACTGTTCCGTAAAACAGATCAATTACGAAATAGTACCAATAAAGTAGTCTGATAAAGGATACGCAGGATCTCCATCATATTTTGAATCGGTCGGTTAGTTCCAGAAGGATGGAATTAGGGTCTGGAAAGAAGGGCAATAAAATCGCAGTAACTAAATACCTAGACAGACAGTTGCTTGCATTCTGAGGTCAACAACAAGTGGCTCTGGAGTAGCGCTCAAGCGGTCAAGTACGATAAAGCTTCACACCTCCCGACAGACAAAACGCAAGTGACAACGTATAAGTGGGACCGGCTGATCGATCGGCAGACACATTTGTTCCTGAATGGGATAGCATACACCAATACATAGTGCAAGTATTGATCTCATGATTGAACAGAAGAGCGCAATGTGCGAGGATTCGGAACATAATGTCCAAGGTTACTCGTGTACGCGGCTTCAGGTACAGCAGGATAAAAGGGCATACAAGCAGACAAAGCACTAGCGAGAACATGCGTCAGTATCGAACGCTTGCGTAGCCACAATTTTGGTAGGATTACTGTGGGTCACGGGACTTTCATAAAAAGGCTAAGCACATACAGATGGTTTGGGTGGATGCAAAGAGGGACAGGCGATTGTGGGTTTAAAGAATTTCAAATGTAAATCCAGATCTCGCTACAGTATTCTTGTCCACATTGAATTGAAGTAGATTCTGGATTGACCACGCGTATACTCCAGATCAGTTTGAAGTATTGTGATATCATCTGATGTATTGATCTCCCTCCACACCTTGGTGTCATCTTTACACAGAAGGCAGTTTGAGCTTATGAGGCATGTGATATCGTTAATATACGTCAGCAAATAATCGCGGTTCTAACACCGATCCATTGGCTACTCCGCATTCAACTCGGATGGATCTGACAGCGAAGCATGCACGCGTACTTCCAGGCGCCGGGATAGAAGAAACCTTCTGCTCCATCCTAGGAGAGGATCATCAATACCAAAGGTATGGAGTTCGAAGAGCAGAATGTTATGGTGTGACCGGTCGAACACCTTGAGAAGTCAAGGAAGAATACATCGACTCATGTGCCAGAGTCTATTACTTCAGTCCAGCTGAATCGTTCTAGTAGTAGATTTGCAGTGTACGGTTGATTTCGTCGGAAGCCAAGCTGTTCCGCTGCGATGTAGTTAAATTCTTCCAAGTAGGCGATTAGCGAGTCAGAAATAACAACTTTCATGACCTTTGAAAGAACCGGTAGTAAGATTATGGGACGATAGTTGGCTGGATTGGATTGTGAATAGGAGTAATCATCCTGTGTCTCCACATTTCGGGCACGTACATTTCGTCAAAACAGTATTTATCACCCTTCTTATTGCAGGTACCAGATAGAAGTCCATTTCAGGAGTGAAGGAAGGAGGGCGGTAAATGACCGACACTAAGCCAGTGTCGTCACTTTTTAAAGGTATATGTCACCAAAGGGAATCTTGTACCGTGCTGACCGGATCCTCTATGAGCTCACCCCTACACCTATGCTGGGCTGGTCATGCCGAACAATGTACATGCCTGGCAGTGCGATCTCGATGTCACTAATGTCGAGGCGTAACCATGTCTTCGTTATATCGATGAGATCGCAACCACATTTAGGAAGGATTACTCAGTAAGTCTTGGACGTTGGTGTGCTTACACGAAAGCTCCTCGACTGTCAAAACCTGTTGACTAGGAGCAACTGAATAATGTGGATTTGCGCCGACCGATGAGAGGCCGGCACCTAATGGTTTTTGGGTGAATTGCCAACTTTCGATATGAATGCAATCTGATTTTGGTCTCATTTGCACCTGCGTTATGTAGTCCTTCGGCAGCCTTTTCGATAGCTTCGATTCGTGTCCGAATCGTTGGTGTGGCTATCTTGAATCGAGAGTGGTGTAATTTCCGCGAGAATAGCGAGTGCGGCTCTCTAACCGCTGTCTTCAGCCGTACTTCCGAAGGAAGTGTGTTGCGTAGTGAGTGCCAGCTACGGGTTGAGTTCACGGCTATCTGTTGTGACTTCACCGTTAGTTTCAGTATCCTCGCGCACTGCCTCTGTAGTTTGGCTACGCAAAAGACCGTTTTATCGGCTAAATTATGACATCGTTTACACGGGGAGCTTCACGTATGTGACACCTTCCTTCCAGGTCCTGAGCATGGGCTTCTTCCTTGCTGGTTGTCGGTTGCTTGAGCACGCAATGAACGAAAATAATTCGTTTGCTACTCCCTGTGAGGTGGTCGTTTAAATTCCGCTGGAATTCGCTCCATGGGACATCCGGAAATATGCGTATCCCGCTGTTTTCAATACGCAGGCGGTATGGCGGCAAAAGCACTATCTCGACGTCATCCGTTAATCCTAATGTTACTCGTATTAGCCGGAACTTCCCGTAATGAATCCAGGTTGGATGTCTAGTGATGCGCATTAAGTTAGTCGGCCAGAATTACACTTAGATTATATCACAAAGTAAATTTCACTGCTTTAAATCATCCAGCTGTTGACCCCTTAAGGGATTATCCTTGGACTCAGGAACCTTGATTCATATAAGTATCAAGGCCTCGTAGTTCCGCCTGGTCTTCGGTGATGTGGGAAGCTATTTAGCGACATCTCTACAGGTAGCAATTGGCCTTTGCACCATTTTGCGGTTGTACCGAGTGCGGCCACTGAGGTCGCACTTCGATTATATCAAGCATCGACTGTTGCATAAGTGGATCGGTCTTTAGAGCGCTTCGGATTTTGTTGGTCAGGGTAGGTGTTACCGATGTTGAATCAGTCGGTCTATTTGATAAGAGGATGTAATCGGTGGGGCTAAGCATGCTTCTTTCGGTTGCGATGACAACTTGATTCGTGGTTCTCAAGGTTTCTAATACTGCGTGGCGGTGTGAACACCTGGCCGTTTTCCTTGGTTTCGGGGCAGCAATTGTGGGAGACGGATGAGGTGCAAAATGCGCTATTATCGCCTCGGGTGCAGCAATTTTGCATTCAAACGATCTTCAGTTTCGGAGACTAGGCTGTCGTACTTTAGTGTTAACGCTAGTACGTATTTTACTAATGGAATCGTTGTGTACTTCGGATAAAACCAAAATGAACCAGGCGTATTGTATTTCTTTATGTCGATTCTACAGGCGTCGATGTATTTCGAATGATACCGGTCTTGGCAATTTGTTCAAGTCAATCCTCCTTTTAACACCTTACTACAATTTGGATTTTCACGAACGCTTCGTTTCGGGTTATCTGTGTGGCGGTCATGGTGGCCGATTACCGTAAAACAACTCCAAGATGGCGGACACAGACGGCAGTTGGGCCAATCAACGAGAACTCTGAAATTAGCCAGAGAACATGCGCCAACTTTTCACAGAGTGAAAAATGCACCAAAAGAAAACTATTGGTGCACGATTCCCCCAGAACAATCCCGTATAACAGAGTAATCCCGAAGAAAAAGTGCAATTTTAGGACGGTTATCCAAAAGTCAAGTCAAGAAATTGCTTTATCCACCCTGCGTGGGTGAATATTCAGCTGCAACACACACGATCTCGACAGTGTACCAAAAGAGCAAATCAGTGGCAAAGCAATACTACAAGGAACGAGTGGATAAAGATAAAAAACACAATCAAGTTGGAACTCGACTGGTTAACTCAAGGGTGACAGAGTTGGGTCCTCTGAAAAGACGCGAGAGGTAAGGGATGACTGACGAGCGGTAAGCTTATGTGCCGGCATAGATTAACTTGCACTTCTGCGCAGTAGATGATAAACATGCAGTTAAGGCAGTGTGTAGGGGAGGACTTGTACCGGTCAGTAACAGAGGTCAGCTTTTTACAAGTACTAATGTGTGTAGTTGTTAAAACTAGATATCGGAACACCGCTACATCGGGTCAAGTACTTTAATTATCTGACAATTAACTTAAAATGCTTACCCAAATGACCGAGAATGACCATAGGGAACAGTACGTCCAATGGGGAAGAACACAGGCATTGACAGAGCGAACGATCAACTCACGAGGAACGCGGGAGGCTCTGAGCTGAGAGACATAGAATGGCAACCTTCTGACTTTTGTGCAAGTTTCAGTTACTTGAAGCATGCAAAATAAACCGTAACTCAACGTGCGCCTAGATATTTTACTGATGTAGAGGACTATAATCCGTCGCCATCAATATGTGACTTGTTGCACAGTGTAAGGAGCTCCTTGTACCTGGCTCCTTTGTGTAAGGAAAAAAGTGTCATGGCACTTTGAAGCATTAAGAGACACATCACGGAATTTGGACTATCCATTAAGATCGTTCAGAATTGCTTGCAGTCTGAATGAACACTCAGCGATTTGGTGATTGATACCCAAGACGATATCGTCCGTACATTTCATCAGAGTCGCTACAGTTGGAGCTGGCATAAAGCTAACTTAAGTAGAAAAGAGAAAAGGCGATAGAATTGCTCCCTGATGGACACCTGCGTTGCTGAGTAGTGGGGAGGAACATCTGCCACTGAGTCGGGT